ATATATATATATATATATATATATATATGGTTGCCGCTATGTGCTGTGGACTACTATGCTCTAGGCCAATTATGTTAGTCACTCAGAGAAGACTCTCAATTTGTTATACTGAGTAGTTAGCCTGTCCAATTTGTTACATAAGATGTTAGGGTATAAGGTGGGAGGTAATGATAGGGGTTGGAAAGTATATGAGAAGGATAAGAGAGGTAGGAGGGAAGTGAGGCCGAACGGTATTGACCGTAAAGGCCGAACGGTAGCCGAACGGTGGAAGGCGTGGAGAGGTCTAGCCAAACGGTGGAAGGCGGTGAAGAGTGACTATCCTAGGAAAATAATTATAGTAAATAAGAATATATCCTAGGAAAATATTTTGTATAAGATATGTACTGTAAATAAGGATATATCCTAGGAAAATATTCAGTATAAGTTAATTATAGTAAATAGAATTATATTCTAGGGAAATAATTAGTATAAATAAAGCTAGAGGCTATTGTTAGGTTTATGCTTTTGATTTGAGAGTTTTGTGAAGGAGGTTATGCTCCAGAATAATTGACGCAGGTTATGCTCCCAATTATTGTTTGCTCTATTTGATTCAGTTATTCTTATCAATAAAAGAGGTTTATTCATCCATTTTCTATTGTTCATTGTTCTGTTGCTTGGTTTGAGTGTGTGAGAGGGTGATCTCGTTACATCTCCTACTCGGATAGGTAACATAAGCATCTACACTTTAAATACTATGTCATTGCTCTTGAAAATATATGGATAAAGAATACTCATATCACATTTTCACTCAATTCTCTTTACATATAAACTCTATTAAGAGGCAACAAAGGAAAGTTAACCTTTTCCTATTTAAGCTATTGTGAAAATTAAGTACCCCGATTTGCAAATACTTACCGCAAAGAAACCACAGTAGCCCATCAATTCATCTGTGTCAAGAACTTTGCCCCGGAAGGCGCTTCCCTCCAAAGCCATTGGAACAATTTTTAATTCAATAGGCCGTAAAAGAGCTGTCTTCTCAGCAACCTGAAAATTTAGTGAACAGTTTTTTAAGTCCAAAGGTAGAAACAAACAGTAATTATAATAGGAGACTTTAACAAACTAGTTATCAATTAAGAACCTCGTTAAGTTATCTGGTTTCACTACTCTTGGTATCCTCCATTTCCATTGTAATTGTTCATTTCCAATATATAATTGCATTTTTAGGCTCACATAAAGCATTATCATCCAATAAGCTATCACCAAATCCCCACCTCCCCACCTCTCTTTCTGCCCATCATTTATTAGCTTTACCACTAATCCTATATATTTTAAGGGGGGAAACCAACCACTTAAATACTCCACCAAACATCTCATACTAGTCAATGAGACTTAAGCACCTCATAACACCGGATCCCTATCAATTATAAATGACAGTTATTGTAGATTCAGTGGCATCAAACACACTCTCCCAAAATACATTATGAGTGTTTCTAGTTCAGAAACAGAAGACTAGTTATTTTAATAATGTGAGGAAGTTATTTTCTTATTGAAAAGAATTTCGGGTTTCTTGGTTGGCACTGGAGTCCGGGCAGTGTCCCTCTTCATTGGTTTATTTGATAAAGGGTCAGTAAGAACAATGAGGATCAAATCTTTTGGTGTAGTAAGTTGGAGAAAACTGTTCAAACCTCCAACAATGTCCTTGTTCCTTTACACTTGTTACAGTATAGATTTTATTTATTACTTATATGATTTTTTGTGCTCTACTCCTGGCTGTTTCAGTAGAATCACCATTTCCTTCGCAGAGACTGAGAACTCAGTCTTGCAACATAAAACATGTTTCTTGTTCTTTGTTGTACCTTGCTTTCACCCTTTGTTGGATATCTTACCATCCCCCTAGTTGAAACTTCCACCATATTTTTGGTAGAGCAGGGTTGTATTTGAAAAAGAGAAGGCAGGATAAACCTTTTTCCAGTCAACATAATCGATAAGCTGATCATCCATGGTTTCCTTTGCTGCCAAGTACAATATTTTTTCTCTCTCAGCTTGTGTCGGTCTTTGAAGATGAAATATTCTATCCATGCGACCTGGCCTCTGCAAGGCCTCGTCAATTTGCTTGAGATTTCTTGTTGTAGCCATCAAAACAACTCCATCTTGTTTCTCAAATCTGCATTGTATCAACTGCTGAGAATGAAGTTATGCTCATATGTAAGGAGTAACTAACAACCAAAGAAACAAAGACTAATGGTTACCCATCAAGTTCCACGAGCAGTTGATTGATGAAAGTTTCATGGTCTTGATTTTTGGTATGAATATATGTACCACGTACACCAGCAAACAGATCAAAATCTTCCACAAATATTATCACAGGAGCCTACAAAAAGCAACAAATAAATCAGGATATGAAGAAACACAATCTAGGAATTAAAAGATCAACAAACTCATTCAACCAGACAACTATACAAGTATATAGCATGCATAAATGGAAAATAAGTTACAAAAAAGGGACATCAATACAGGGAGAAAAAGTGGACGAGAAGTTGTAAAACATTATCATACATTTATAAGGTAGGAAAACGTGTTTGTAACAATGTTAATTTTTTTAGCATACAAATTCACATTTTGAAAATAAAGATTACATGCATAATTTGAGAAAGAGTTCAAAATATAAATATTTTACTATTATTTCCAATTCCTGTCTTTGACAAGGTTTTGAGTCACCTCAGGTTTGGAGGAAACCAAACCAGAGGTGGGGCCAGTTGATGGTTGGCCAGCCATTCCAGTCCAATTCCAAGATTGCTGGAATGAACATATAAACATAATTTGACTAAGATAACTATCACAACAAATGTATGACGCATAAATTGACTGAATCAAGTGTATCAAGGCACAGCCAAAGGCCAAATGAAACTGAACCATGTGATGTTCATATAGATTTACTTCTAATTAATAACTTATTTGGTTCATAATTATAGAGTTAAAAATAGTGAAAGATAAGAAAATAGAAAATAGATATTGTGGTTTAAAGAGGATAACCAGATCTCTTGCTGTCTGAAACAATTCACGAACATTGGAGGCACTTTGTCCAACCCACAGCCCAGCCTCCAATTGCTGGGCCTTAATTTCAACAACGGGCACCTTAGCCTCAGCAGCAATAGCCAATGCTAGAGATGTCTTACCGGTACCCCTCTCACCTACAATAAGAACACCCTGCAATACAGAAAACAGTTCCCAGTAGTTGACATGGGCATTTCAAACCAAAGTGTATGAGACTTTAGTTATATAATGAAAGGGCAAGCAAAAATGTTGGAAAGGCAGTCAACTACAAATTTATATTGCTACAAATATGATTATTAGAATTCAGAACAAATTATGTCTAATTCAACCCAAAAGCTAGCTGAAAAGTGGAGGACGGCCAAAGACTGGACATCAAGAATGAGATTTGAAGGATTAGACAACTATATACGTGGCGTAATAGCAATACCAGTGTGAGCTAAGATAGCATGTCTAAGTTTAATTGAGAACAAAACGATTCAATTAAAAGCCAAAAGCTAGACCAAGGGAGAGGAGTAAATACAAATATTTTAAAACCTAACCAGTCAAGAAACAAATTCAGAGTTCAATGGTTTGACTATAGCTGAACTTGAATAGGTATAAATAAAATAGTATAAAAAATATATTAGCATAAATTTATAAGCTAAAAACTTGAAATGAAAGATAATTTTATAGGTTCTTAACATTCAAAGTATAGACGAAAGTTCAAATCAAATATATCATAATGTTTGCGTCTAAGTATCAACAATACACAATAATATCTATTAAGAATGACTAGTTTTCTTTTAGAACAAAAAAGAAAATGAGAAATTTCTTTAGGTTGCACTTTTACTCTTTCAAGAAAAAAATCAGAATAATGGTCTGATTTTTTAAAAAAAAAAGGTAAATATTAAACTCTCATGGAAACATTATTTCTTGGGACTTATAAGCTTTACATCAACTATAGAGATGACAAAAATTGTGTTTATACGTAAGGACAATTCTCACCCCATAACTCATCTTTTGCGTTGAGTTTCACTCAAATTCTAAGATAACATTAGAGTCGATATAAGTGATTGTTGTTAGCCTATCGGATCATCTTTATTGAATTGTTGTCAAACCCTTCAAATATGTGCTATTGTGCAACCTTTATGTTGGAGATATCCAGTCCTCAAGTAGGGAAATATCTTACTAAATATTTCCCCTTATTAAGAATTGATTTTGTTCCTTATTATTGTATATCTTTTTCATTATCAATAAGAGTACTCAAGGGTGTAATTATTTACTTAAAATCTCATAGCTTTTTTTTCTCACCATTAATTGAACTAAATAAATAAGGTTAACTTAAGCAGGTTTAAGTAATTTCAAGGTTGCTTTTATTCAAAACAAGTTCTTTTTGTGCATCAATTTACAAGGGAGTAGCAAGAACCTAAAATCTGATAAAGAGAGTTGTCACATCACAATTTTGAAAGAATATATAGAATGAGAAAAAAGAATCTTCATCAAATATCATACCCGAGGCGCCTGTGCACCCATTTCCTGGAATGCCCGTGGATTCTGCAAAAATGCCACAACTTCATTGATTTCCTCTTTCATAGACTCGACGCTAGCAAAGTTCTTCAATGGTATCGGCGGTTTCTTCACCCTCTGCATAACAGCTATAAGTTTTAGTCATTTCCTTGATGAGGTATTATCCAGTAATAAAACAGAGAATAAAAAGTTGTCGAGTTTTAACCTTCATCTGTTCAAATGCGGTCTTTATGGGATCAACGCCGTCCTTTCTCCTCTGCTTGATTTTTTTTAATTTTTGACCAATGTAATACTTCTGCAAGATAGCCAAAAACAGAGAAATAATACTTTGTTAAATCTTGCACCATGGTAACATAAATTTGTGTACTGGTCCTCATTCCATCTAATATAGGTACATTAACAAAACCGACAACTACAAACTATACTGGCTTTGGCCCACCCAAATTTTATTTTTTAGGTGTGTTTGGAACAAGAAAAATTATTATCATATTTGATGATCTAACAACCACATGTTTTCCAGATTAGAGAACTTGCTAAAAATGAAATTGTCAAGAACCAATTCTCCAAAAAGCTTAAGCTGTAACAGGCCCAGTCACACGAGTTCATATGAATTAAAGTGCGAACAACTAAACCCAATTTTACCTTCTGAAACTTTAATTCAATAGATAAGGGTAATCTAGATCAAAATCACTTGGTTTGTGTGTGTTTGCATGTTTGTATTTGTATACTAAGCAAAAATACAAAAGGGGTAAAAACCCAAACTCCACGAGGACCCTATAGACTGAGATGCAACAAAGATAAGATTTTATGAAGTTGTACAATAGTTAGCAAAAGAACTTTTCCTGACATTCCGCCTCAAATTAGAACGTACAAATTATATGCACCAATATTATATATATATATATATATATATATATATATATGAGGTGTGTGTGTGTAAAATAGAATTTCATCACATGCTAAGGTGTACAGGAGAAAGAATAAGAAAAAGAGAAATGACTTGGTTTCCATGTATGCATGAATGATAGCAGCTGCTTCTGTGACTAACTTTACGAAATGGCAAAGTTAGAGAGGGAGTGTAAGGAAATATTGATTCTGCTCTGGACTGCATGGGGGAATATAGGTTTGGGAAGATGTGTGAAAAGTGGAGAGCAATTGGGAAATAAACTTTTGGGAGAGCGATAGGTCAGTTGAATACCTAGTAAATAATTTTTTTTATCAGTCCACTCAGAAAAATTGAAATAGACTCCAAAATGATAGTGACTTCTGCAGAACTTTTTAAGACTTTGATTTTCCACAAAAAGTGATAGGTTTAAATAGAGTATAATATAAGTGATACATAAATAGAGTACAATATAAACTAGGAATTAGTGACAGGCACATAAACTAGGAGCAGGGTTTTAGGGATTCTCCAAACAGTGATAAGATAACCATCAGAAAATTATGCAGAAATCTAAAAAATAACATACACAGGATGCAAGAACAAACTTATACCACTCGCCGCAATTTCCGCCTATTTGGATCTCTTCGCAAAGGCCCAAACCCGAGAAGTCTAGGAAGTTTTCTCCTCATAAATTTGACCACATGAAACAAAACAAATCCATATATAGAAGCTCTGACTAAAAACCAAAAAGACCATGAACTTTCTTCATCTTCGTCTGTTGATTGTCGGGATTTAAAATTTGATTCTGCCTCTGATTGCCATTTCAAGTACCATGTGGTGTCAACCGTCTGGTATATTTCCTCTGGCCAAGCCATTCCCAATTGTATCCTCACCTGTAACATAATGACAACAAGGGCTTAAATTTATTAGTTAAAACTAATAACCTCAATTGCAAATGACAATCAGGAGTTCAACAATACCGGGTATGGGACTAAAAATTCCACAATAGGAAACACCATCACCACCATTATGTCATCAGTGGTATCCTTAATTTGGGTAAAGATCCAATTTTTTGCCTGTGTGACAATTCTAGAATTCCATAAGCCACTAACAATCCCATTACACACTCTTAATATCAAGAGAAGCTGTTGGCGAATATTCAATTCAGAGAAAGGAATCCACATGAGATGAACAGCTGTTGGAATATCACATGCAAGCATTTTCATATACAGCCCATCAAATCCCCCCAAATCTTCAAAAAGCATTTCAAATTCCTGAAAAAAAAGAAAACATATTTAATAATCACCATACAAGAAATAAAGCCAAAAAAAAAAAAAACTTAACAATAAGAAAGAGAATATATACAATAATTACCTTTATGTCTACATAAAATTGTTTGTCCTCCCCCTTTAATTCGATATACATGGCACCCCAATCATGCCTAATACGAACATATTCTATTAGCTTTTTTGAGACAGCATAAGGAACAGCCACTGGATCAATCTCCCATCTCTTCTTCTCTTCATTATACCAAGTCCTTGAAACTACTCTGTCGCGGTCCAAAAGAATCCGTTCCTGCAATAGAGAAGTAGGAAGTAGGAACTAGTCAATGCCAGATGACAATCAAGCATTTTCCCACTTAATGCCTAATAACAAAAGGCCAAAAATAAGTTCAAATCAACATCTTGCACAAAATTATATGAACAATAACTTATCCATCATTAACACCTCACAAAAATACACACTTCTGCTTTATGTTACTCCGTTGATATGACTAGAGAAAAGTCACATGAAAAGAACCACTGCAACATACAAGATAATTATTAAACAATATGATCCTCAAACTGCAAATCATCTATTTTTTTAGCTTGCCCTTTTGCAATTATATTATGGACTTAGCTTCAAAAAGTATCACGGATCAGCAGCTGGACACTTCAACAATTAAGACAATTATACAACCCAATAGGAATTAGAGTAATTTGGTGGCAGAAATGATGCTATTTTTTGTTACTCATACAACTTCAAAAATTTGGAATAGCATTAACATGATTAAAATTGAGGGGCTTCATATACAGTATCAACATATTAAGAATAAATATTACTGTTGTAAATCCTTCTGGATCAATAGCAGCAGGTAATTTGAAATCTAACATAGTTGAGTTTAAAATTCTTAAAGCTTTTACTATCACTTGCATGTCAAGGAAAGCAGATATTGGTCTCCTCCAGATGCAGGTTGGATCAAATGTAATACATATGGAGCTTACACCGGTAATGGTAAAAAAGCACCATGTGAAATTTTATGAAATAAAAAGGTGAGAACGTGGGTTGTTATGCGAAATTTATACAAGCAAATTAAGCTTTTGATGGGTGTTATTCAAGCTATTGACATTGCAATTCAAAAAGGTTGGAGAGTTCTTTGGATGGAGAAGGATTATTTGATTACTGTGAAAGCTTTGTCTAATAGTTCTTTAGTTAGTTGGAAATTAATGAATAGATGGAATAATGTTTTGAAGTCTATTATGGGTAGGAAGTTTACACTTTCACACATTTTTAGAGAGGGAAATAGGTGTGCAAATAGGTTATGTTAGAAGTCTCACATCGAATAGAGATAAATCCGTTTTACAGTATATAAATAAATGCAAACCTAACTTTATAAGTCAATTATGTGAGATTGAGTTAGACTTAAAGTCTACTTTTTAAGAGGTTAACTGCTTTTGGTCCTAAAACTTTAGATTTCACTCCGTGGGATGGAGTGCCTCCTTATTTTGTCATCAATCTTTTTAGTGATAGTGGTCTCCCACATTACAGATTTTTATAGTTGGCTTTGGTTTGGTCTGCCACTACTGTTTTTCTTTTTTCTTTTAATTCTACTAACTATGTTGCATTTGATCGACTCAAGTTGGAGTGTTAACCAGGTTAGGATTGCAACTTCTATAATGATGCAATAACATTCTTTACTTCTTATTTAGGAAAGGATAATGACTCCTGATAATTAATAAACAAGTGAATGAATCACGTCTCAATTAGAGATGTTCAATTCCATTCTATTGAATCAAAAGTATTTATCTGAGTTTTGAAAATCGGTCTAAAGCAATTCATTTAAAATTATTTAATAATAAATTGTTTTAACTTTATTAAAAATAAAAAACAACCAAAAATATTTGTCCTTTTCTTTTTATTCTACATATAACTTACTTTTATCAATAAATATCGATGAGTAATACTATTGAAATTGTAATTTAAGCATGACAATATATTTTATTTTAATTTTTATATTTTTTTAAAATTCTGGGAACCTATAAATTTATGTTTTATTTTAGCTTTTAGCATCATTATGATGCTATATTTTCTAATCTTACTGTATATATTATTTAATTATGATAATAATTTCATTAATATTTTTCCAACTCTAATTCTACCTTGGTTGAACCATTGAACCTTGATTCAGTGCCTTGACTGGTTCAATGACTTGCCTGATTTTAGAAACATTGGTATACGATACACGTATGTTTCTACAATTCTAGTGAATAATTCAAAGATACAAAAACAATTAACCCTTAGTATTATTGACATTTTGAGTGAACTTTCACACGTAGCTTTCCTAAAATAATGTATGCCAATAATATTACTCAAGATGTCCTTGAAGAGAACAGACATCAAATCTTAAAATAACTGATTTGATTATTTAAAGTTTGAACCCATAATAAGGTCTATTTTACCATTTAAGTTACCAGATAAAAAAACAGAAATTGGCAAGCATGCATAATAAACATATTGATGGGATTACAGAGTCTAATAATCCATCTATATGGAAGGTATACTCTATGAGGAGGCATAGGATGTAGAAATAAGATCGTGTGGTTGTTCTGTAGGACAGTTATGCATTTAGTTATGCAGAATGGCAGCATAATAGCTATATTTAACTCTGCCAGACAGTTATTTAGCATGTTTGTCTAATGCAGTGTAGTTATGTAGCAGCTATGTATCCTAATATATGGTCTGAGAAGGATCACAAGGCAGTGTAGTTTGGAAAGGGTGAATTTTTGTTGGAGTTTCTCAACCCTGGGACATAATTCTTGCTGTAGTTTCTGTAACTCTGTTCAATAATAACAAACATCACTTTATTTGGTATTCTATTGCATCAATAAAGAAATACAGTGAAAAAGTGAAATGGAACCTCCGAACCTGTCTTTCAGCCACATATTGTCTACCAAACTCAGCATCTTTTATCAAATTGTGTTTTAAATTTGCCTTAGCTTCTTCACGCCATTTCTTCCAACCATGGTATAGATGGAGACCAACAGCTTTGGGAAGCACAACCTCCTTATTTCCAAACATCCACTTTAACTCAACTTCAGGAAAGCCCTTAACCACATCTTCGTGTGGTGAGTAAATAATACTACGCTTTTCCTTGCCAAACTTCTTCATTTTCTTTCTTATCTGAGCCTCTAAATTCCTTTGCTTCTCCCTGGAATCTTTAAGAACTCTTTTCAAACGTTGGGCAAAATAAATAGACTCTTGGTGAAAGAATGGTTCAAGATCTTCAACATCCAAAATGCTAGGAAGAATTATTTGTTCAGCATGTTTTCTATGCACAGTTTCCAAATCTTTTTGAATGACAGATTTTGAGAGCCTGGTAACTGAGCCAGTAGGCAAACTGCAACCACATGACAAGATGTTTGCATAATGACATACAAATTCAATGGTATTATGCTAAAACTAACTCACAGGACATACAATTAATAATACTTTAACACTGAGAAGAAGAAAAATTATTCATTTCCATTGATAATAAAAAACCAGTACAAGAGAGTGTATTATATATGTTGAATATAGTGAAAAATTATGTATGAGATTAATATCCCTTGTCACTCATGGCTTGAACCAAAATTTTAACCTTCAATGCCTCTTGCATTGATGTGTAAACTATAATTGCATTGATAGCAAAGAGAAAATTAAGTGTTGCCCACAAAGGTATTTAGTGGACACAAATAGAAAAATAGAAAATGTGGCACAAAACCATTTTCCTTTTCTTAAGGCAATAAGCTATCAAGGTTAGGCTCGTAGTTATTATTCAAGGAATTTTCTAAAGGTTATGAACACTTACATTCAACATTAGATGATTGGAGTTATACTTGGATCAAGTTAGATTCCTTTTGTTTCCTCTGGTATTAAGCATAGAAGAGACTCCCTAAACCACTAATACTTAGCGTTAATCCTGACACAGTAACATATTTGTCCTTAATAGAAGCATCTTTGTGAGGTGTACAAGAGTAGTATCAATATGATAAGATTTTTGCAACATAGAGACAAAAGACAACTCAAGTGACTCAAGCGACTTAGCTTCTATAGAATTCTTTCCCAAAAGCTCAGCACACATGTCAAAAGATTTTGTTTCTTGAAAAGCAACATCCACATAGGTATAAACTTTTCAACTTAAAGGATGGGAAAAATTATATCTATTTTAAGGACATGAAATGACAGACTTCCAAGATGATAAAGGAGAAACCAAATTTGAAAGGGTAAGAACTAGCACAAGACTAAAAACAAGAGAAAATCCCTTCTTTCCTGATACTAGTTCACATTGAAGATCTTACCATCTAAGTCATAACATGAAGAGATATCTTGTGTTAGAGTAAGTATCTAAAAGATTATCCCAAATGTCTCAGGAACTAGAGTAGAACATGTAGTTTTTACTGATCTTTGTGGTCATGGAACCCCATTGCCATGTTATGATGCAAGAGTCATCATTGTCCCAAGTTGGAAAATAATGATTATTCTAGGATATTACCCCTCCTTCGATACAATTAAGCATCCCCATACCCTTCAATGTGCTCCTAATGAAGAGGACCCATTAGAGGTAGTTTCGTCCATTGAGATGATTATCTTCAAGTAGATGCAGAAGATCAGCGTTACTTCTTAGGGAAATTTTAAAGGAGGAACTAAATGTCATGCTAGAAGATTAATACATACACACACACGGAAATTTTAAAGGAGGAACTAAATGTCATGCTAGAAGATTAATACATACACACGTGTGTGTGTGTGTGTGTATAAAAGAAAAAAACAAGAGCCTAATAAATCAGGAGCCTAAAGGGAAATAAAACAATTCACAAGAAAAAGAAAAGTATCAGCCACGTGAACAATGGTGTCAATTGTGGCGTGATCAATAGCATGAACAAAGACGAGGCACTCAAATCAAGTCAAATAGACTAAACAGAGGCAGATCAGAAACCACCATCTCAAGGTAACTTTGACAACATAAACAGGGGCAAGAACAGCAGTTGAATGTGCCCTAACGCACCATCAAACAGTGGCACGTGAAACTGGCATGCTCAGGAAAATGATGTGCGTGAGTGGGCATGGGACGTCCTCCAGCTGTGCAACTCAGGAACAAGCCGATTCGGGGAAGATGAAGCTCTTGGTACAGTCATTGGCCATAACATAAACACTATGGCAGCAAAAGTGGCAACAGTGATAGAAAAACAATGACAAACAACTTGTTCGGACAACTAAGGCACCAAGGGTTTAAGGAGAAGCATAGTCCCAAAATACGAAGCTTTTATACTAAGTTGATAATACTTGATCACTAAGAAGAAGAAAAATTATTCAAGTTAATTGATACTAAACCAGTACAAGGGAGTACATTATATACAACTCCAACACCCTATAAATAATAACAAGAATTAATAAATGCCTTTCATAGCCGTACAATATATTTATTGAAATAATTACAATAATTGATAATACTCAACAAGAACATTATGCAACTAATAAAGTTGTTCCATCCAAAATTGACAACAAATTTCAGCACAATCGAATAGATTAAGCTGACAACATTGTTATATGCTTTAAGCAGATTTGCCAATTCAAAAAAAAAAATCAAGAGATAAAATCCCATCATTGTCAAAATTTATCGGCATCCCCTCTTCTATTGAGTTCATCAGCCAAGTAAAATCAAATATAGAAAAGAAAACAACAACAATAATAATAATGTTAGTTTTAGCAGCAGGAGCATGAAGAGTCGGCAAACAACCCAAAATCTTCAAACGTACAGAAGTTGCACAAGTAACACAAAAAACCTCACCTGCATCCTACCTTGATCTCCTCTATGAAGACAAAACCAGAACATAAAATCGCTCTCAGAATTAACGAATAAACGTACAAAAACATCACAATACAAAACGCATTCATTCAAGTTATCAAGAGATGTGACCTTTCGAAGTCCTTGCGCCTAATTTCCTGTTTAAACCTCTCCACCAGCTGTTCACACTCCCTCTCTATGAAATTGATTTCCCTCACCCCATAACTCAACGCCACCGTCTCCTCCCTCGAAATCTGGTCCTCGATTTCCCCAACTCTCTCCCATAACCCATTGTACTCATTCTCCATATCTTCAACAATCACCTCCAACTCCATCATTCTTGCCTTCTCTTTCTCATTTGCCGCCACCTTCGCCTTCAATCTATCGTACTCCGCCGTCGCCTTCAATATATCGCCAAGAATCTCCCCGGACCGTTTCCACAACGCCTTCTTTTCGTTCCTCAGCTTCTTCAACGCCGGGTAGAGCCTCCTGTCAATATCTTTCTTCATCTCTTGCTTCTTCAATTTCACGGCCTTCAACGCCTCCTCCACCTCGCTCGTGTCACCATTCCCCTTCCTAGCTTCATCTACGGCTCCCAACAAAAACGACACCGTCTCCAACAACTTATCGGTACAGTCCGAATACTTGTGACTCTTCGCTTTCGCTTTCTCTTTCTCTGTCTCGGCGCCTCTCGTTCCGAATACATTCCACGGAACTGCAATTGCAAGTGCGGGAGGAGGAGCGCGGAATGCGCCGAGCGCGGAGAAACCAACCGCGAAGCAGAAGAGCGCACGAACGAGTTGTTTCAAGAAAACGTCGTCGGTCGGAGAGGGTGCGAGTGTGGTGGACTTGGCGGCAGAAGTGATTGGTGGAGTAAAAGCGATGGGAGCGAGTGAGAGTGGGGTTCGTGGTGTTCGGCGGGAATTGGAGATAAGAGTTCGGATAGGAATGGGCCGAATGGAAGTGAAGAGAGGGCGGTGGGGAAATTGAAGTGGCGAAGAAGCGATAATGGAGTCCATGAATGTGGTTGAGTTTAAAAAAGAGGAACGAGGGAGGATGATATAGACATTGAATTCAATGAAGTGAAAAATGCGCTATCCTGCCATAGCTGCAGGAACAGCGAAAGGGATTGATGAATTGGTTATTGGGTTTTAGCCAATATTTCCGTTCCCAGGCTTAAGACAAAAATATGTAGCTATTGGATAAAATAAAACCAATACTATCTAGCGAGTAAAATTTTTTATTTGGAGTAGTTTATCATTTAGAATGATGGATTTGATTTGAATTGTGAAAATTATGTGTTTGATATGGATGATTTGTTGGAAATTCTTAAGTGAGTGATTGAGATAATGAGAAGATGAAGGATTTGTGTGGATTGTTGCTAATTACATTTTTAACTTCAATAATACATGCATGTGAAATACACAAGTTGGCAAAGTAATTCCTCTTAATAATTTATTATCGTTAATTAAACGAATCTGTATTTCAACTTGCAATTGCAAGACGTTCGTATGAAATTTTAGTTGTGGATGAGTTAAACATCAATTTACCTTTTTAGTGTTATAGTTCATAATTTAAATACTTATAAGTATGTATTTGATTATGACTCATTTTCACACCTCATAATATTATGCACTTGAGATTACTCTCAATAGGAATCGTGGTGTTTTATAATGTCAAAGATTTACAAATAATTATATTGAATGGTTTTTCCTTTAATTTTGTATAATTATTATTGTCAATTAATAAATATATTATTAAATTATTAATATTCTTTGATAAAATTAAATTTTAAAACAATATTAAATATATTTTTAATTCATAAATTCTAATACAAAATTAAAATGTATCCTCAAATTTTACTAAAATTAAAATTTTTAAAATTATTAAATATGTTAATTCTTTTTTATACGTTAAAATGTATTTCACATGTAAAAATAATAACACAATTAAAATAAAATGATTATATATATTTATTTTTAAGCTTTTGAATAATATATATTAAAATTTTGAATATAAATAAATTTTAATTTCGTGTTAAAATTCAAAAAAAAAAATAATCTTTAAAAAAATCACACTCAAAAGACAATTTTATGACTATAAAACAACCTATAATATTCATCTATTTAATTAAATCAATTACATTTCCAATCATTTTTCTTCTCAAAGCCAAAAATATTTTTATTAAAGTGATGTCATTTTTTCTTCAAATCACGCAAAATCAATTATTCGTTTTCCACATCCTGAACTAAACAAAACGAAAGAAAAAAAAATCATCAGAATTTGTCTCTTAAAAAAAATCATTACATTCTCTCTTGTTTTTCATACTTTTTTTATTTTTATGTTATTTATATATTTCATGGAGTATTTTGCTATATTTTTTAATTGGATTATCAGATTAAATAAATAACTTTTTTATGATTTATTTTTATTTATATTTTTTGCTTTTTAATCAAGTAAAAGTAGTGATATTTACATTATAATAAGTTAGTATAGTATTAAATTTACACAATATATCAATTATACGAGTCTAAGCGTTTTTTTAATTTTAATTGAAAATTTACTTTGATTATAGTTATAAATTTTCATATAATTGAATGTTTTTTGGAATTGATATGTATTTTGATTAAAGGAATACACATTATTATTAGACAAAATATTTAATTAAGAATATAATTAATCTGAAGGTTTTTGCTTCAATATATTAATTAAAAACTTATATTAATTAATTTAAAAATCTAAGATAATAATTAATTGAACAATAATATTTAAATAACCAATCATAGATATAGATCTTATTTAAAAAAACAATGAAATCAACCTATTTTATTTATCATTATTTAAATCTTTTATTTATCTTTATGTTTTTTGTTATTTTTATTTTACTAACCATTTTGTATAGTTTTTATAAAAACTAATTTCTTAATAATTAATTATATATTCGTTGAGAGACAATTTATAGCTGAATTTGATCTTTCTAATTTGTTGGCAAATGTGAATGTAACATCCCAAAATATAACATTTAACTATATAATAGTCATCACAAATTTAATATAATAGATTAGTTATAGACAATAGTATAAAGTAAGATTTATAGTCATCAAAAATAACCATAAATTTTACGCTTTATATACAAGGAAACTAAACAAAATTATTTACAAAAACTAATATAAAGCCAACTACACATCTGCACCTCCCCGTCCAACGTATGCTCCAAAGAGACATTATCTCCCTTGGTTCACACTCATATGATGATCATAGCAAAGAAGATAGGCACAAAAACATACAAACACAATCACAAAGTAAAAGGGTAAGTTAGTTTACAAAATAATTAATGATATTTGTGTGTGTGTGTATATATGCACACACATGAGACAAACCTATCAGTCAAATCTAACATTAATCTTTTACAAATTTTACTTTCAAATCCATACTCACTTACTTTAAAACCATCAACTTTGCCTCCCTTAAATTCATCTCTCTTTTTCATTGGTTTCATCTTTTCAACATTGTTGCCTTTAGGTTTGGTAAGTTTATCACTCATATCTCTGACTCTAGTATTATGAATTGTTTATTATTGTTCATCTTTAATACTTACTTCTTATATTTCGCCCTAACACATATTTAAATCTCAACATCTAATTCAAATTTTTGTGTTGTCCTGTTTTGTTGCATAAATATTGTATGGTGAGCAACTTATGGTTTTGTTTAATAATTTTTTATTTCATCACTTTTAGTTGCTTCATTCTCCATTTAACTGCATTTTTTCTCTCCTTTTGCTGAGTAAGAAGGAATTATATGAAAGTGGAACACTTTTTTAAAGCACTTGCATGTCGTAAGTGTTTATGGTTGTAAGTCATTATGCACCTGGCTTTGTTAGTGAACACTTTTTTCTCTGTTATTTTGCCCATTTTTCTTATGATTGGTTAATATTAATGTAATACACTTTATGGGGTACTTATTTTGTATGAGATAATAATCTCATCTATTAAATGGAATGCTTTCTCACACTCTTGTGAGTCTAAATATATAAATAATAACAATTTAGAATGTATTAAGTAAGTCTTAAACATGAAATTCCTTTGACTCTCGTCACTTAAAATGAGTGTTGATGCACAACTAGATTTGAAATAGGAAGACATTATGCATGGAAGAAGGGAACCTATGACGACTCTATTTGGCATCAACAAGGCAAAGATAGCGATGGCATGAGTAGTTTGTTGGAACAATCGGTACCGTTATAGAGTCGCGCAGCGGAATAAAATATAGATAGCGGAAAGCGTGTTACGGTCACAAAACAAGTTAAAAAAAATTTATCGAACAGTTGATGTGCTAAGAGTTTAGGGATCAAGAAAATCAACACAGAATTTTTATCCTGGTTCGAATCAAAAGATTCTACGTCCAGTCGTTAATCACTAAAAATAGTGATTAACCTTTTTCACTAAAATATGGTTTCAAGATTACAATCAGATAATCAAAATAAGCAAAGAATAGAAAACACCTTCCTTCGACAAACGAACGGAAGAACCTGCTCAGCCAACTTGAAAAGAACTGCTCCGACCTTTGACGCACAAAACGCGAGCTTCTCCTATTCACAAGACCAGGCAAGAGCACTCTATCACTTTGAGAACTTCCTCAGACAAACTGTATTCTCAAAATGGCATAGATCCTTTTCACTCACAGAGAGCTTCCCTTAGGCACAAAGCTCTAATACTCTCAATTGAAAAGTTACTTTCTAAGAGTTGTGAAGACCTCTATTTATAAGCCTAGTTTCGTGCAGGGTCAAAAACTGAAAAAACATCTCCCAACTGCCACTGATAATCGATTATCAAAAGTGATAATCGATTATTCAAGTCCGTTACAGGGTTTTCAAAATGTGATAATCGATTATATGATGTGATAATCGATTATTCCTGTATGACTCTGTGATAATCGATTATTGCCATTCCATAATCGATTATTACAGTTAAAAATGCAAGTTTACAAAGTTTACGAGAATTTCCTACTACATTTAATTTCTACAAATTGCTTTTAACTAATTCTAATATCTTCTTCAACTAAAACTTCTTGCAGCATCATCAAAACACATTTCTTCAAGATTTACCAATACTCCTTATTGGTAACAATCTCCCCCTTTTTGATGATGATCAAAAATTCAATTTGTTAAAAGCATTTCTAATTTCCTGCACAGATTCCATACTTACAAACATGTTAGTAATAACTGCACTACTTAAATTAGAAGTTTTCTCCCCCTTTTTTGATCATAAGCAAAAAGTAAAAAAGTGGAAAAACTCCCCTTCAAATTTTTCTCCCCCTCAACAAAAGAATTGATGCATTTCGAAACAGAAATAAAATTGAAATTTCATAACATGAAAGAACAGAATACCTCATGGAATATAAGAACAACAGAAATTCAACTCTAATTAAGAAGTACAAACAATATTAATTAATCCATAATAGAGATAAAAACAATATATCTAACAAACTCATATATCTTCCCCTATAGGTACCAGTTATCCCATAATATGTCAATCAAAAATAGATTTCCCAATTTTTTATCATAATCAGAAAAACATCTAATCTTTATGCTCCCCCTAAATTTGTTAACTTAAAAAGAATTTGGATCCTTTTAATTCATTAAAAATTACTCCCCTAAAAGTAATATTCCCTTTAAAAATCAAAGACAGATTCCTTAAAAAAAANTGATAATCGATTATCAAAAGTGATAATCGATTATTCAAGTCCGTTACAGGGTTTTCAAAATGTGATAATCGATTATATGATGTGATAATCGATTATTCCTGTATGACTCTGTGATAATCGATTATTGCCATTCCATAATCGATTATTACAGTTAAAAATGCAAGTTTACAAAGTTTACGAGAATTTCCTACTACATTTAATTTCTACAAATTGCTTTTAACTAATTCTAATATCTTCTTCAACTAAAACTTCTTGCAGCATCATCAAAACACATTTCTTCAAGATTTACCAATACTCCTTATTGGTAACATAGTTGTGGCCGACGAGATCCTCCAATTGTAGTTGCAACAACGTTAAAGAAGGTTAAAGACGTAAGGGCTTGCAATACCATCTATAGTCGTAACACTCATTTTCTTAGAGTATCACGATAACAATTTATTTTTTCAAAACATTCACAATGAAAACATGTGATACCAT